GCTTTTCAGGCACAATCTTCCTCAGCCTACTCAAGCTCAACTGATGAGGGGTGAATTCCCCGAAACACTGTGTATTGAGCAGGGAGTGGTGCTTTCTTTCAGGTTTGCCGAGCGGAAGGTGCGACGTGCTCCTGGTGTGCTCCGGATGGCAGTCGTGAGTCAGTCAAGTTCGGCAAGAAGCGTGTGCTCCTCGTTGGAGCAACCAACTTAAATCTTATGAGATTGAAAAATGACTTACCCAAAGCAGCTTTGGTGTGCTTGTGGAAGCACGGGGCCAGGGTGTTGAGCAGTTACAGGGCTATCTGTATCTATAAAATTCTCCATCCCACACTGCTGACACGGAATGACAAGTTCGCTGCCCAGGTCGTACCTCTTCTCTTCAACGCAATCAATGAGCGCCAGAGGTTTGCCACATCCAGGATTCTGGCACGCAGACAATCCCACTGCCAGATACCTGAGATGAACGATTCGTCGACCGTGAAGAGGGGCACTGAACGACCTCTTCGCGGGAGTCGAATCCAGTGGCGTTAGTGATGGAGATCGCCCTTTCCGTTTTTCAGGAACTCGATCGATCGTTTGAGTTTGCGAAGCGTCCCCCTCCTCGGCTTCTTGCATCGTCCAGTACGCAGAATGAGAGGCCGCGTCGTGGGTGACGGATTACTCTCCCGCGTCTTCATCTCCACGACACGTCGGCAGGAGAACCGAGCTATCCAAAAACCGCCAATGTCAAAACAAATCCGCAAGTCCACTAGTGGCTGAGCTTCTTCCTCAAATCTTGTCTCGACTCGAGCACGCGCTGCGAAGTCATGGTCAAACTATTTTCTGTGCATGATCGCGTCCCATTTTTCCACTCCGAAAGGCATTATTTTTCAGAAAAAAATTCGGAAATCCAACATGGCGCTAACCGTCGCGAACCTCCTTAATTAAATCCCATCGAATTTTGCAAAACACTACGCGTCTATAGTTTTGAAATGGACTGTACATGCACTGTAAAAGCCATTATTCTAACGAGGCGCATATATACCGTAATGTCGCGTGCATTAGCCGGGGCTTATATGCCTATAAGCCGGTGATGGAGTCAGGCTTGTACACAAGACAGGCTTATACACGAGACAGGCTTATATGACAAGCACCACTCAATGACCAGGCTTGTATGCGCAAACTGCTGACTTTTGGACGTCAAAACCAACATTTTCCAACGGGATTTTTTTTCTTTTTTTTCGACGGAGACGGAAAATGCCATGGGAAAGGTAAGTTTGAAGCTTGAAGAGTGCTGCATGGCCGTCGAGCGCAGCTGGTGTTGATTTCCGCATCTTCCCACGTTTTCCGCGTGTGCAAGTGTACGGTACCATGCAAACATGAACATGTAAAAGGCGCGCTCACCAGTCTTGTGTAGTAGCCCGGCTTACGCACGCGACACGTGGCGCGTCTCGTGTACTGGCCCGGCTTATGCATGCGACAGGCTTGTACGCGAAAAGCTGTTGCAGATTTCATGCTTCTACACGAGACAGGCTTATGCACAAATCCGGCTTATGCACGCGACATTACGGTAACGATTTCCCAAAATTGACTAGTTTACGTGTACCGAAGATAACGATTCTCACTCATTCTCAACGCTCAATAGGACAGTATATGCATTGATTTCTGTGTAACAATTTCTATTTTAACGACAGATTTCTCCTCGTTAACTCGTTAGAGTTAGCACTTCGTTATATAATTATATGGCTTTTACAGTACACTATAGCAAGAGTACTGTAATTTCACAAATTTTCGGTGTACTTTTATTTTCGGTACTTTCGGTGCATCTGTTTCATACCTAAAATTTCAATACACCGAACAAACACTAACACACATAATCCAATAGGAAACCAAAACGATCAAAAACTCTAAGGACATCATCGTGAAAGCCG